GGAAGGGTGGATGTGGAGAGCTGTTTAGCGCAGGGGTGCCTGTCAATCTTGGGCTGATTCCATCAAGAATGAATGGCAGTACTTCGCGCACCTGACATCTCTGATGCTGGCCGCACCACTGCTCCTCCATCATGCAAAACCTCCCCTCTTTAGAGTTTTAGGGGACCATGGGTGGGGGGGAGGTGGCAAGTGTCAGGAGAGGCAGAACACTGAGAATATTCATGCCTGATTCCCTGTTTTCTTCATCTCATAGCAGACAAGGTTTTTGCTAAAGCCAAGGGAGCAGGGATTCAGTTGCCAGTGAATGAGAGTCAGAAAAGGAGGGTCAGGGAGGAAGCAGACCAAGACCATCTCCAAGGACTAATGTTCAGCAGCAAGAGACGCACTGAGTTTGGAGCCCGCTGATTTGAATGGCTCTAAATCATGTGGCGAAACACAGTTCTGAGAGAAGGGAGGGCCCTGCACCCTGCAGGCCAGCAGGGCGTATCTGGTCTGCTCTGCACCTGAAGATGGGCCTTGTTTGCCTGGAGCAACTGTGGCTCCCGGGAGAATCTGATCTTTGATTTTGCAAGTCTCTTTTCTGCACAGGCTCCAACAGGGTGGTCCAGGCGTCCTTGGTTAAGGTCCTGTCTCCTCTGTGTGTCTCTGTCAGTCAGTTAACCACTGTTCTAGCTCTGATAGGTGGGGAGCTAGGCCAGACTCTACAGATAAGGATGAAAATCTGGGGCCTTGAAGAAGTGTTATGGATTCCTTATATACACAAAGCCATGATTAAAGACATGATTCACCCACTCCTTGACACTTGTCTAGGTCTGCCTGCATGGCAGCGATCAAAAAAGAGGACATTCAATCAATCCACACTGTTGGGAAGAGAGTTTGGAGTGTGAAGATTTGCAGGAGAAATAATCCCCTGTTTGGGAATATGTCACCTTTTGTTTCCCTGGTAAATGACCAAGAATGTCGAAAGTATATAGGAGTTATAATTCCTGCTACACCCTAAGGATTTTCACACATGATTTCATCAAATCTACAGTCTACACTCCTAGGAAGATAGTATTATGATCACTTGGCAGATGAAGAGAGCAGAGTACTGAGTACAATAACTTTTCCCAGGATCCGTAGCTGATAAATGGCATTTCAGACTCCAGCGCCTGTGCTTTTTCTGGTATGTTACATAGAAGAAGTTAGACAGGCAAGGAAGCAGAACAGGTGAATTAGGTGTAAGCAGCTGGATCTGGGAAGTATTCACCTAGCCTACCCACTGTAGAACCTTCACCACTGGTGGGACAGCCAGATTGACTCCTTTGAATTGATATGTAGTGTCCAGGTTGAAGATATACAAAATATGTCTGTTCCGCTCTCTCTCTTTTTCTAAGAGCTGTGAGTTCCATTTAATTTTTTATGTATTTATTTTTGGCTGCTCTGGATCTCTGTTGCGCTGTGTGGGTTTTCTCTAGTGGCGAGCAGAGGCTCCTCTTCATGGCGGTGTTTGGGCGTCTCATTGCCGTGGCTTCTCTTGTTGTGGAGCATAGGTTCTAGGGTGTGTGGGTCTCGGTAGCTGCAGCACACGGGCTCAGCAGTGTGATGCACACAAACTTAGCTGCCCTGCTGCGTGTGGAGTTTTCCCAGACCAGAGATGGAACCTGTGTCCCCTTCTTTGGCAGGTGGATTCTTATCCACTGCACCACCGGGGAAGCCCTCTGCTCTATTTCTGAGTTCTGACATGCTCATGGGGGAGCTGGCATAGTCAGGAAGCACTGGGTGTTTGATTGCTTCCAGTCCCAGTATTTCTAAGTGAATGAATGAGTTCCCAGACTCCCCATGGACTGTCCCTGCAGCAGCGTTTATAGAGATGCCACATGTCTTTTCAGCCTCCTCTGGGGCTGTTTTGGCCTTGGCATTGAGGGCCAGCCCAGTCCCTGCAAAGTTAATTGCCATCACATACAGTAAAAAAAAAAAGGGGGGGGGCTTCCTCAGTAGCTCAGGTGGTAAAGAACCCACCTGCAATACAGGAGACCTGGGTTCGATCCCATTTTACATATAAGAAAACAGAGATTAGGTGACCTGTCCAGAGCAATGGATGCCAAGTTTTCCAGAGAGGACCCTCAGCCAGCTCAGAGCCTGACCCTTTAGCTTCTATGGTACCCTGTTTCCCCATGTCCTTTCTGCTTTGGGGTGCTGAGAGATGGAAGGAGGTGACACTATGTATAAGATAGATAACTGATGAGAACCTATTGCATAGCACAGGGAACTCTACTCAATGCTCTTTGGTGACCTGAAATGGGAAGGAAATCCACAAAGGGGAGTATATGTATGTGTATGGCTGATTCACTTTGCTGTACAGTAGAAACTAACACAATATTTTAAAGCAACTTTACTCCAATAAATTTTTTTAATTAAAAAAGAAAAGGGAGGAAGGCCTCACAGACATGATGGATGAATTAAAGAGGAAAATGCAACCATCCCCAAATATTTTAAAAGCAGATAGATTGAAAAAATCCAACGTTTAGGCCTGAAGAATTGTGCCAGATGCTCTCAAGGAGGACCCCAGCTCTCCCTAGGGAGGTGGTCTCTGCACTTCAGCCTCCTGGTGTGACTGGTGACTTCCCAAGTCCAGAGATGCCCTGGTGACGTGTGTGTGCGTGCTCAGTCACTTCAGTTGTGTCTCTTTGTGACTCTACGGACTGTAGTCCGCCTGGCTCCTCTGTCCATGGGGATTCTCCAGGCAGGAATACTGCAGTGGGTTGCCGTGCCCTCTTCCAGAGGATCTTCCTGACCCAGAAACGTGTGTGAAGTGTTTGGATAGAGACCAGTGGTGGCCCGTTGGAACCATTATCCAGCCTGGCAGCCTTAAACTAACAGAGAAGCTATTGACCAGGAAACCCTGAGCCAAACGATATTGCTTGTCCTTCTGTTGTCTTCTCAGTCTTTGTGGGGAATGGGGTCAAGAAAAGGAGATATAATTCCACTCTGAGTCTTAGGCACGGTAAAGTCAGAACAAAACTACAGCAGCAAAAATGTTGCTGCAGTGCCATAAAATCCCGCGCCCCCCACCCCCCACCGGGCCCAGTGAAGAAATTCAAGGGGGCAAGTGCCCCCGGGAGGTCCCCCTGCTCTGTGTTTCTCTGCGGCCGCCGTCTCCCCTTCCTTCCTGCCCGGTGGCGGTGATAGGAGGTGACACTATGTATAAGATAGATAACTGATGAGAACCTATTGCATAGCACAGGGAACTCTACTCAATGCTCTTTGGTGACCTGAAATGGGAAGGAAATCCACAAAGGGGAGTATATGTATGTGTATGGCTGATTCACTTTGCTGTACAGTAGAAACTAACACAATATTTTAAAGCAACTTTACTCCAATAAATTTTTTTAATTAAAAAAGAAAAGGGAGGAAGGCCTCACAGACATGATGGATGAATTAAAGAGGAAAATGCAACCATCCCCAAATATTTTAAAAGCAGATAGATTGAAAAAATCCAACGTTTAGGCCTGAAGAATTGTGCCAGATGCTCTCAAGGAGGACCCCAGCTCTCCCTAGGGAGGTGGTCTCTGCACTTCAGCCTCCTGGTGTGACTGGTGACTTCCCAAGTCCAGAGATGCCCTGGTGACGTGTGTGTGCGTGCTCAGTCACTTCAGTTGTGTCTCTTTGTGACTCTACGGACTGTAGTCCGCCTGGCTCCTCTGTCCATGGGGATTCTCCAGGCAGGAATACTGCAGTGGGTTGCCGTGCCCTCTTCCAGAGGATCTTCCTGACCCAGAAACGTGTGTGAAGTGTTTGGATAGAGACCAGTGGTGGCCCGTTGGAACCATTATCCAGCCTGGCAGCCTTAAACTAACAGAGAAGCTATTGACCAGGAAACCCTGAGCCAAACGATATTGCTTGTCCTTCTGTTGTCTTCTCAGTCTTTGTGGGGAATGGGGTCAAGAAAAGGAGATATAATTCCACTCTGAGTCTTAGGCACGGTAAAGTCAGAACAAAACTACAGCAGCAAAAATGTTGCTGCAGTGCCATAAAATCCCGCGCCCCCCACCCCCCACCGGGCCCAGTGAAGAAATTCAAGGGGGCAAGTGCCCCCGGGAGGTCCCCCTGCTCTGTGTTTCTCTGCGGCCGCCGTCTCCCCTTCCTTCCTGCCCGGTGGCGGTGATGGGTGGCCGGGCTCCGGCCACGCAGTCCCCACCAGGCAGAGCGAGCACCTCTGGGATAATCCGGAGCTTGGGATGCTCAGAGATGCTCAGGGATGCTCAGCTCGCCCACTGCTGGAAGGTTCTCCCCTTCGACTTCACTCAAGGCAGGAAGTAGCTTGCAAAGGGGAGGATTTTCAGTACAGACCACAGGGAATTAAACCTCTCTGAACAATAATGTTGATTCGTGGAGTGTAAAAGCTGGGACAGTGCTGGTGTTCCCTAGGCAACGGGCTGAAAATGTTCGCTCCTTACAAAATCTTTCAGTTGGCCAGGCTCGCTCTTTCCTGACAGTCCCAGTGGCTGAGCTTCGGGAAAATAAGGAAGGCTGTGGATGGGATTTGGTGAGTGCCATGAGATCCCTACCCGCCTGCAAGTCAGGGCTGCTTTCCTTGTGTTTGGTTTCGGATTAGAAAAACAAGCTAGCAGACCATGACTGCTGACACAAATAAATCCCTAACTGGACTGGTAAACACTGGAAATTCATCCTTGCAGTAAAAGGGAAAAAACAAAGCAGAAGTATTTGCCTCCTCTCCTGGTAACATCTAGGGCTGTGATGGAAAACTCCGTTATCCCTAAGAAAGATGCCTGGTGAGCATGTGGGTTTTTCCAAGCTGGTTTTCCACTTTTAACTCAGGAGTCTCTGTTGCATAGACGTGCAGAGCGACGGCACGATCTGGCTGTGTGCGTGTGCGCGCGTGCGGTCTGCGTGCGGTCTTCTCTAATTTACTACAGCGCAACTTCCTCTTTGCTTTAGCCAGACTAAGTCTCAACAATGAGACATGTGTAAACTTCTTGTCTGTTTGCTTTTTTCAGTTCTAGGGAAAATCCGAACCGCAGTGGGCAGTGCCCAACTTCTTATGGCCCAGAAATTCTACCAGTTCAGAGAACTGTGTGAAGAAAACCTGGTAAGTATCTTTCCCTGTCAATACTAGTTTTCCCTGCTCCTCCCCGTGAGAACATGTGGTCAAGACCAGTTCAACTGAAGCAGAACCAAGCCAGGGCTCATTGGACTCTCTTAACCTGAAAGAGAGAATTTTCCAATGAATCATATATTTCCTGCTTTTCTTAAAATTAAAAATATTTATCTTTTAAAATAATAAAAAAATATTAAATTATCTTCAAAGAATCCAATCAAGTTATCAAGTTAAAACTCCATTTCCTTTTTTTTTTTTCTGGTTGCTGAATATTTTCTATTTTCTTGGCCTCCTTATTTTATTATTCTTACCCAATTGGAGCAGCCTGCTATTTCAAAAATAATATTTCAGAAAAAAATCATTTTGGATAATGAGTTTCTTTCTGAAGTAGCCATTGGGTCCTTTTTCCTTATCAGAGTGCTCTGTTTTAATTCAAGAACTGGAGGTGGAATGTGTCAGAAAGTGTAGATTTGATCTCCATGAGAACAATGAATCATTCATCTTTCTTGGATACACAGAAATGAAATAAAGCAGAACAGACAAAACCTGTATTAGCAGCAACAACATTTTAAAAAAACTGTCAGCAAAATGCAAGGTACGAATCATTCACCTTTCTTGGATACACAGAAATGAAATAAAGCAGAACAGACAAAACCTGTATTAGCAGCAACAACATTTTAAAAAAACTGTCAGCAAAATGCAAGGCCAAGAGCTTCCTCACATTTTTTTTTTAATTCTGCCATCTCCACAAGTGTCATTCCACAAAAATAGCTTTTATTGGCCATTAATGATCAAGCTGCATCTGTGTGCTCAGTCGCTCAGTTGCGTCCAACTCTTTGTGACCCTATAGACTGTAGCCTGCCAGGCTCCTCTGGCCATGAAATTCTCCAGGCAAGAATACGGGAGTGGATAGCCATCTCCTCCTCCAGAGGATACCCCCGACCCACGGGTGGAAACTGCATCTAAAATAAAGAAAATGAAAAGCAATTCTTTTAATCTTCTGGAAAGTTCAAAACACAATCATTTGTGATCTGATTGACCCAAACGATGATTTTTTCTTTTTTTTTTTTAGCGTTCTAACCACATCTTGTTAACAAGGACAAATACAGACTGAATGGGATTTGTCTAGACAAGACTCAACCAAGAGCAGATATAAAGTCTGCACAAGTCAGTGCTCTTGTGCCCCTTCACCAGGCTTTTCTTTCTGAAACCTCTCTTTCCTGCCTCCTCACCCCCAACCCCCACACCTATAGTTTGCTTTCCCCTTCCTCAGCAAAAATGACCTGGCCCTTCTTTCACCTTCTCAGAAATTATATTCTGAATTATGAGATAATATATACTAGTAAATGTATTGATCAGTGATTTAACAAATATTTTATTGAGCTTCACTATGTGTCAGGTACAGAATTCCTTCTAATTTGTAAACTTGCTCACGTATCTCAGATCTTAATTCGTATGATTCTTTAACTCCTTAAAAAGTTCATATAAAGCCATATTTTTCAAACTGGCCCTCCTTATCTTTCTCATCCTCTATCACCTCTGACCTCCAAGTGACCTGATTCAGACTGAGGCAGGTTTCACAACTACTTCTTGTGCTGGGTGTCACAGGAGTCACTGATTAAGAGACTGGCTGAGCACCCAGACTCTTTCTTTCTGCTTCCCCATTCATCCCTTGGATGATGAGGGGGCAAAGAGATTCTTGGTGGGGAAGGAACAAATTTCCCATGTTACTAAAGAGTTAAATGCTATCATTCTATCTATTAATGCACTAACACAGTTTAACAACAGGGCTTGTGACCTAAAAGGCTTTAGTGAACTTCAAGGTATGAGCAACTTAGCTTTTAATTACAAATAAGATAAGGTAATATATTGTGAGATCATAAAACTCCAGTTGACAAGTACTTTGTCAGTTATTATCTGTCTATTCTGAACCTAGATATTAAGAAACATTCTAGTTTACTATATCAAAATGCTACAGAGAAGCCCTCTTGTTAATTCAGGTGTCACTGGAATAGAGTTTAACAGTGAACCAAATGCTTACAAATTTTAGAATTTATTTATTCCAATGAACTATGGGTAGTTTTAAAAGTATAAGTTTATAAATACATTCTTGTATTTATTTTGAAGTCAGACCAATAATACTCATCCATCAAAAGGCTTAAAAGCATTTTTTCCAGTCTACTTACTTTGATGGTTACTGACCCTGTGCTTTCTGAAATTCTGATGATGTCATTTCTTTAGGGTTGTTTTAAAAGTAAGAACGGGCCTCAAGTTATTATACGGCATGAGATTTCACAGTCTTTCCAATTGCTTGGGATACCCAGAGGTAACCAAATGGAACCTCAATAGAAACCTCTGATAAGTATGAGCCCTAGCTATCTGCCCATGAATACCTTTAGCGATTGTTGCCAGTAGTAATACCTTGAGTCTCTTAGTTATGGTTTTTCTGTCTCAGATCATATAAATTAGTGGTTCCTACTCGCTAGTGTTTGTCACGGATATGTGAATGAGGGCAAAGAAAGTCAATCCAGACATCAAAGAATGTTTAATATTATCTAGCAAATGCACAGAAATCGATGTGTATGTATAGCCAAGTGTTCTCACATTTGCCGTATTATGTTGTGGTCAATTTAAAACCAATTCATTTCCAAATGATTATGTCCAAGTACTTATATGATAAAATGTCTTCCTATTAGAAATATCTTAATTGTTAAACACACAATACTTTGAAAATATAATTCTTTTATTACTTGTCACTTGTTTGCCCTATTATTTCACTCAACGTAAGTATTAAAATGAATCTTACTTTAGATTCCTTATCTGTTCTCTGAGTATGTTGGATGCCATGGAGTCAAATACTGACTCTAATAACAATGGAGTGTATTTTTTGGTAATATGGTATCTTCATTTAAATATAGTTTTAAATGCATTTTGGCATACATCACACATTCTGGTTTTTTTCCAAATGTTTAGATGCCCTACCATACCATACTGATAGATGCTGTATTACAAAAGAATTTTACCTTGACATTGAGAATAAGTGACTCAAATGTGTCTAAAATGATTATATAAAATTATCATTTGTAGTGGAATCTTTTTTCCTTTTTTAAAAGCCAAATTCATAGAGAGAGTATAAAAGTGTTTGCCAAGGGCTCAGGGGTAGGGGAAATGGAGAGGGCGTTGGTAAAATGATACAGATTTTCAGCTATAAAATGAATGAGGTCTGAGGACCTAATTAGAACATGGTGACTATGGTTGATAACACTGTATTGTCTAACTGAGCTTTGCTAAGAAAGAGTAGAAGATAAATGTTCTCACACACACAAAAAACGATAAAGATGTGAGGTAATAATGTGCTGCTTAACTCGATGGGGAAGTCCTTACGCAGGGTGTGTCTATATCAAATCATCACATGGTACATCCTAAATATCTTATAATCTTATTTGTCAATTAGTCCTTAATAAAGGTGAATATATGGAGATATATATATATATATATATATAAAAATATAATGTATGCACATATGCTCAGTCACTCAGTCGTGTCCGACTCTTTCAGACCCAATGCACTGTAGCCTGCCAAGTATCTCTGTCCATGGGATTCTCCAAGCAAGAATACTGGAGTGCGTTATCATGCCCTCCTCCAGGAGATCTTCCCCATCCAGAGATCGAACCCTTGTCTCTTATGTGTCCTGCCGAGGCAGGTGGGTTCTTTACCGCTAGTGCCACCTGGGAAGCCCCATAAAACATATATACATAAGTATATAAAATAAACAAATAAAAGTATCATCAGTGAGGAGGGCATGGCAACCCACTTCAGTATTCTTGCCCGGAGAATCCCCATAGACAGAGGAGTCTGGCAGGCTACAATCCATGGTGTCGCAAAGAGTCGGACACGACTGAGTGACTAAGCACAGCACAGCACAGTACCATCACTAACTTCACTTTTCTCTCCTATCTGAAAACTAAAAGGAACTCATCCTCCTTTTGTTATTTGAAGTATTTGAAAATGCCACGTTGATGCTGGGCTTGTCACAAACATCGCTTCTAAAGCGTGACTGTTTTTCTCTCTCTTGCACAGAATCCCAATGCTCATCCAAGGCCCACCTCTCAGGACCTGGCCGGGTTCTGGGACATGCTGCAGTTGTCCATAGAAAACATTAGTATGAAATTTGATGAACTTCATCAGTTAAAGGCCAATAATTGGAAACAGATGGATCCTCTTGACAAGAAGGTAGAACAATGTAGATTTTGTATGGTTCATTTAAAAACCTGCACAAACCCTGGACAGTCTAAATAGGCTTCTGCTCTCAGTCTTGCTGTTTACAATGTGAAATGGAGCTGAAATCATATTAATTTCATTGTAATGACAATGTTTACATAGTAATCATTTGGGATATTATCTGTAATATGTTTCAGGCATATTTTTAAAGAAAAACCTGTCTGTGAATTGGAAAATGGGAATGTGGCTTTTTTTTTTTGTTAATTAAACTTTAAGTTAAACCATTTTAGTCACTGGAAGGAACTGCCTCCATTTTGCTTTTTAAACTAAAATAAATGACATCTTCAGTGCATGATTACATAGAGCAAGAGTTCAACTTCCTTACACCCCTAGAACGTGTTTCCGAGAAAATAGGAAGCCCTGCAAACTAACCGACTTTGATAATCATTTCATAAATATAGTAATAAAGAAACCACTGTTGTTCAAGTCTAAAAATATACACACCGTATAGTTTCACAGTAATCATAAATGCTGGGATCTTTTTTTTAAAAAAAAAAAGGTTTTACCTTTGGTTGATTTGCCTTGGGGAGTATTGCTCACTGGGTTCCTCATGCAAGAGCTTAGAAATAAAGAATCAAATTCTTTTACTTGAATTAATAAACTGCAGTTTTCACATTTGATTACGATGGCTCCACCAGGCTTGCCCAGGTATCCAATGTCCACCCTCTTAGGCTGACCGGAGATGCATGACGTTTTTAACCCTTTGCTTTCCTACAGCCTGAGGTCAAATGATTCTGAGAGGTCGAACTTCTGGAGTCAGGCACAGCCATTTCTGTGATGCCTTTTCCTGATCCTTTCACCTATCAGTCCAGTCCATTCTGCTGCTGCCCATCATAATATCAGAGTTCTTGGAGTCCCTGGGCTCCCAGGAGAAATCTAGTGCTAAGGGCCGGTGCATAATTGAAGGAGCCACCACGCTCATCACTGTCCCTCATCTCTAATTCGGTCACCATCCACCTGGCGGGTTTTGGTATGAAACATCAAAGTACCATTGATGCCTGTGTGGCCTCTCACTGGGGTAGCCAAACATTTGCATTCATTCTAGTTCTCTTTAATCTGGGTTTAAAACTGTCTGCTAAACAAGTTTTTAAATTGGTCTGGTTTTAAGAAAACATTACAGATGTACACACATACTGGTAACTGATTTTCTAGAGCTGATCCATCTAATTTCTCATTCACCAATTTTTTTAAATTGTTGTTAAAAAAAATAAACTATGCAAGGAAAGGAAAATATGACTAAAAAGTTTTCAACAATCGCACTTTCTAAAGTATCTACTGAGTGACCCAATCATGAAGAATTTAAATGTCCAAAAGGAGTGAAGCTAAGAATTGATATATGGTACCTAGTGACAGTTATACGGTAAATCATTATTAACTTGATTTCTAAATCTTCATGCATGGTATCTGTGATCAGAGCTTTGCATCACCCCATGAACTGGAGGGGAAACAATGAACAAATGCAATCAGAGTTGGTGGAATACAGTTTGCACTCTGTGCTTCCTTTTTTTTAATCCACTCGAGACTCCACCTTAAACAACCGGCGGGCAACTCCACTGCAGTAAGGGTAACTAGGCACTTCACGAAGGCCAGCAAAAGAGGGACACAGAGAGTGCCCTTTGGAGAATCATGGAATCCATATTTTAAGATACTTGTCACATTTAGGTTTATGAGAATTTAAGGCATTTTATTAAAAGATGAAATCATCAGATTCACATGGACCTTTTTGCAGCCTGAAAACTCACTATCTTTTTCCTAAAAATCCTTTGTGATGTAGATTCCCTTTCCCACTGTATTTTCTTTTTTCCAGTGATGAATGATTTTTGTTTTTGCAGTGGCATTTAAAAATAGCCCACCGTTTTCTAGTTTGCTGCTGCTGGGGGTTGTGGCGGTGTGGGGGAGGGGAGCGGGGATGAACTCTTTCAGTCTTGTGTTCAGATGTCATGGCACAATGTCTGTCCCTATGATGAAATAGCCTTCAGGGCCACCAAGGTCACCCCGAGGCCCTTAATTCGTGATGGTCCAGCAGGATGTTTTAGGAGCTGACTCCACGCCCCCAAGGGTAGGAACTGTCCAAGTCCTCCCTCAGGGTGACCCTGCCGAGTACATCTCTGTGTGTCTGTGTGTGATGTGTAAATGGGTGTAAGTCACCGGGACACCAGCAAAGCTAAACGAACACAGTTTTAACAATCGCTTCTTCCTCGTTTGGCTGTTTAGGTTTGGGTGGGCTCCGGGGAGAGGGCAGGGATGTTTTTAAACTCTGAACCCAGCTGGTACCCACACGCTGCCGCCCTGCTTAGAGGGGGTGCAGAATCTAAGAGGCGACCGCTGCCCCCTCCTTCCCATCTCTGGCATCCGGAAGAGTCTGGCGTCTCCAGAGAAAAACCACAGTAAATATGCTGGAAGCTGCAGCCTTTAGGTGACGTGAGGGGCAGGGGGCGGGGGCTGGTTAGATTTTAAATACCCATATCCTTCCCTTGGAGAGACTAGTTCTGCCCTCCAGCTTGACCCTTGGCCTTAAACTTCCCAGTATTTTTTTACCCTCATGCATCTTTTTGAAAACCCAAGCCAGAATACTAAAGAAAAAAATATATACATTTTATGTGCTCAGTCGTTCAGTCGTGTCTGACTCTTTGAGACCCCATGGACTGTGGCCCGCCAGGCTCCTCTGTCCATGAGATTCTCCGGGCAAGAATACTGGAGTGGGTTGCCATTTCCTTCTCCAATACATATATATATATATATGTAAATATGTATACGGTGTGCAGATCAGAACTAACTTAACCACCCTTAGGCTTAAAAAGAAAGAAATGTGTGCTAACTACTGACCTATCCCAGTTTCCCCCAAGCTTGTCCTGAGAAGCTGTGTAATGTCATGAACCTTCTGCTTTGATCAGGAGCGAAGGGCCCCTCCTCCAGTGCCCAAGAAGCCGGCGAAGGGCCCCGCGCCGCTGATCCGGGAGCGCTCGCTGGAGAGCTCGCAGCGCCAGGAGGCCCGCAAGCGCCTGATGGCCGCCAAGCGCGCCGCGTCCGTCCGTCAGAACTCGGCCACCGAGAGCGCCGAGAGCATCGAGATCTACATCCCCGAGGCGCAGACCCGGCTTTGAGGCCCCGGCCGCCGCGCCCCCGCCGCCGCCGCCGCCGCCGCCGCCGCCTCCTCCCCGGCGCCTGCCCACCCGCGTAGACGCGGCCCCTCTCTAGGTCACCCGCCATCCATCCTCCGTCCTCCTCGAGCTAGTCCGTCCCTAGATTCCAGCAATATCCAACCGTAGGGTATCTCAGACATCCAGGATCCCGCCCTGGGGGGGGCGGTCCCTAGGGACCTCGCCGTCTTCCACGCGAAAGAAACTAGGGCTCCGATCCCCTTGATTTCCCCGACACGCTTCCTATTTTGGGCGAGCAGACTGGAGCGCTTGATGTCCAGCCTCAGACATCACACCCTGTCACCAGAGAGGGGCTGGGCGCGGGGGGGACCAGGATGTGTGGTGGGTGGGTGGGGAAGAGAAGCAAAGTCTGCAGGTGCCGGGGGGAGAGGTGGGGTGCGGGTACCTGCGTCGCTCACAGCTGCACAAACTGCCTCACTGTTGTGTCATCAGTCACTGCTTCAAATGTCTCACTCAGCAGAAGATTGTCAATTTGATCTTTCAGGGACATCCATCTATTCCGAAAGGCAATAAAATGAAGACAGGAAAGGCAAGACCAAGGAAGCACTGCTAGCTTAAGAGACTACATAAGGGATTTTTTTCTTTTGTCCTATTCTTAAGACAATTTAGACCTGAAGTGTTTTCTCAACTTTTCTTGTACTATGTATATTATGTTGTTGTTGTGGTGGTGGGCGGGGGGAGGTCTTTAAAGGGGAAAGTGTTGGTTCCATTACTTTGTTAGTGTCCATCTAGGGGAGGGGGGGAGCCTACCTAATTACACAGATAGAAGTACATCTCTGCTTACCAAGTGCTGTAAATGGCAGCCGGCCTGCTTTCTGAGAAGAGTCGGGATTTTCCCATCATCCCCTTCGAACGCTACACATTTGGTCTCTTTTAACCCAGTAGTTCATAGGGCAGACATTTGTCTCCATCAGTCTTTCCTCACTGCTCCAGAGTCCTATCACACCCCCGTATCAGGATTTTGTCCTGTGTCAAACCCATCAAATAAGCTTTCTGTCCCAGTAGACGTGCTGTCTCATTTCAAAGAGCAGCCACTCATCTTGAGGTCCCAAGTAGAGAGAAAAGAAATTTGACCTGCAAGGTTCAGCAGCCATGTGGAGGGGGATAGCATCGCGGTTCCTAAACATTGAAGAGACCCAGGGATTTGGCAGAGAAGGTTGATTTTTGTTTTTAGTCATGATGGATGGCATATGACCTTTGCGGCCAGCTGAAGTTATCTTTAAATGCCCTTACTCCTAGCAGTTTAAACACTTAGAATGAGGTGATCTTACATGATCACTGGCATTTTATCCAGCTCCCTAAAGTGTTAGATATTACCATTGAAAAATGAAAGACTTTTAAAAAGATATATCAGATACACTTGCACCAGAGACGCTTTAAAAAAAAAATAAACTCTCATAGCCAGGTGCTAATTTTATTTTAAAAATTAAGAGAAGTGATGGGTTCTGGCAACAACTATTTTCATGGACATATTCTAAAACCACTAGAGAATTCGCTACCTCTCAGAGCCGTTGATGCTTTGAGCTATCTTTATAAACAGGGCACAAATGTTTACTGCTGTGGTTTACAAGAAAAGGGCTACTAACTTATTTAAAACAAACCAACTTTTAACTAGAGTGGACAAAGCACCTTTCGGTACTTTTAAAATTGGAGCAGATAGAGAATTTAAGCTTCAAGTATTTTCTGGTTTTAAAAGAATACACGTTTTCTTTACTCTGTAGCAGCCGGGGAAGGTCACACAAAGTTTGCGTCAGGTAAGGCCAACTGCCACCTTGGGTAGCCTATGGTCATGTTCAGCCATGACAGTGACTCAGAACTCACAGACTAACCTGAAGGAAACAGCATCTATTTGAAGACCCATGTTCCCATCCACAGCTCTGTGCCCTGAGGGAGAGATAAGATTTGGATGGAGAAATAGATTTCTAAAGATCATCCTACAATATTTTCCTTGGAAACTGGTTTAGCCCAGGATATTTTAAGAGAGACAAGAGGTGGCCTATTTATCTTGTCTACATGAATGGTATTTGTATATTCATAAGCTATTTTTGGTAAGAATTTTAAATCTTTTAGCAGAATGCCTACAGGCATCATGACCTTTGCCTTCCTTGAAAACACCAATTGTACAAACACTTTATAAAAAGCTAATTATTGATGTTAAGACATGACCCCACATAAAACTGCTTGTTGATCACTTGCCCTGTTAAGCCTGACATCCGTGAGCATAACCCTTGTTACATTGTTCTTTTTGATGTAATTTGTAGAAATGTTTTTTAGTTAACACAATGGAAAATGTATGTACCCTGAAAAATTACTTATTTTGTTTAACTTTGGTACAAAGGTGTTTGGGTATTTTCTTGGGGAGGGGGGAATTACAAAAGAAGTTTGTCTCCCACATCAAAAAAACGTTCAAAGAAATTAAGTATTTATTATATTTTTTGCAGATGTTTCCATACAACTCACATAACCTTTTTGTAAAGAGAGATGAAGAAATGGATTAAAGATTTTTAATATTTGAAATGGTAAATAGAACTAATTTATTTGTACTATATTTCTGTTATTTATAGATGTTTCCTTAATGTTTTACTGTGCATTACCACTTTAATTTAAGCCTTATCCTTGTGAATTTACCATTTCTTTTTTAAAACATGTCTAGATGCATATTTTAAATAACTGGAATGTAAATCACTAGCATATCTGAATTCCCAAATGTAATTTTTAAAAATTATTTTGGTTTGGAAAAAAAAAAAGATTCATTTGAAAGCTTTCAGATGGAGGGGTGGGGAACATTTTTATGGCTTTATGAATTGGAATTTCATAGGCTTATATACCTAGATTGTGTGCGGACAAAAAAATAATTGTAAATAGATGAATGTTTCCCATGATGTAAAAAGAAATTAATAAAATAATTAATGCACTGCTTTCAGGTCTCTCTGTTTTCACTACAGAGTCCTGCTTCTTCCGGAAGAGAAGTAATTGTCTTTGGGGGAGTAATTAAGCAGTGCAGAAGCATAGCATTCTGATTTTCATTGTAACAGCACATATTCTAGTACCTGTGAGCTTGTGGGTAGACCTTGTCCCTTATGGAAGGGATTTAAATACAGAAAACTAAAAGTCCTTTTACTGTGATGATCATACACTTCTGAAAGGTTCAGGTCAGGGACTGTATGTTTTATCAAAGGAGTTATATCAGCTTCTCAAACAGGTGCAAATCTGTATAGATTTTAACCCACGTGCATATCTTGCCAAACATGTCAGTTTTGTTTCCTACATAGTTCTCCAGGGTAGGGGAAATCAGAATAATGCATTGTGGGTTTCATTTCACCCTTGCACTAATGAAAAACTACTCCCTGAGCTTTGGTAACTCGCCCAGTATGACACAATTATTAAGTCAGCAATTTAAGCCCCAAATCCAAACTTCCATTTAGCTTTGTCTTCTGTGATGTCTTTATCTTTCTTCCCACATTTAAAATTGGTAACTGCCACTGTTGATCTCCCCTGGTTTTCATCTACGTCATATCTGTAAACCTTACTTTATACACAAAAATAGAGACTCACCAAAAACAAAGTAAATTAGAACATTTTATAAAGTGGACTTGCAATGATCTGAAAATGCCACAACTCTGAATCCTGTGTCCACAGTACTCCCTCCCACCAGGTTCTTGGGCAGAGCCACCAAACTATATGCAACAGACTTGGACATTGTTAAGCAAATAAGCCATTTTGTCCAATTTTTATACATAAGCAAGAATCTGTGCTAGTCACCAAAATGACACAATGTACTTTTGAAAATGCTTCAAAAGAGTAGAGATCAAGTGGCTGTACACGGGCGAGGTTGCAAAGATCTCACTACCTTGGCTCACGCCCTGACCACATAGTCTGAACCGTGGTTATACTTCTTGACTTTTAACAGCTGACCACGTAGTCTGAACCGTGATTATACTTCTTGACTTTTAATAAATTCTGATATTTCATCAGGGCTCCTTGAGCATTTCAGCCAACCCAAAAATGAAATTAGGTTTTGCATGCAAAAATTTGAATTTCAATGAAGAAATTTCCTATGTTACAGGGTCCACTCCTCCCACAAAATGTAATTTTGTTTTTTATAGATAGGTATTGAACAAAATGGTTTGAATTTCTTTTTATGGCTTTGAATTCCAGCCCCTTGAAAATATAAATTGATTTTGATTTAAATAAACGACATATGAAAAATCCTAGTGTCTGACTGTGTTCATTCTTGAATGCCACTGTCACCAAAGGGTGTTGAAATCTACTTGGGGTTTGTTCGATAGGCTATTTGTCTTTCAGCTGCTAAACTAAAATCAGATCAACTCCTTTTGCAAACAGAAACCAGTGGCCCAGCCTGAAAACCTCTCTGGTCCTAACTCATCTCTACTGGTGTAAGTTTACAATTTTTCAGTCATTAAGTCATGTCCAACTCTTTTCAACCCGATGGACAGTAGCACTCCAGGCTTCCCTGTCCTTCAATATCTCCTGGAGTTTGCTCAAACTCATGTCCATTAGGTTGGTGATGCCATCCAACCATCTCATCCTCTGTTGTTCCCTTCTCCTCCTGCCCTCAATCTTTCCCAGCATCAGGGTCTTTTCCAATGAGTCAACTCAGTTTCCCTCATAGCTCAGCTGGTAAAGAATCTGCCTGCACTGCAGGAGACTCCAATTCAATTCCTGGATCGGGAAGATCTGCTGGAGAAAGGATGGGCTACCCAGTCCCATATTCTTGGGCTTCCCTTGTGGCTCAGCCGGTAAAGAATCCGCCTGCAATGTGGGAGACCTGGGTTTGATCCCTGGATTGGGAAGATCCCCTGGAGAAGGGAATGGCTACCCACTCCAGTATTCTGGCCTGGAGAATTCCATGGCCTGTATAGTCCATGCGGTCTCAAAGAGTCAGACATGACAGTAACTTTTACTTTCACTTCACAACTCAGTTTACAGAATACATCTTAAATTTCTCTGCAAATCCCTTATTTCCCCTGAAGCAGAAAGAGGAAACAATATGCTCTTCCTGGTTGGGCTTCCTCCTGATCCAGGGAGGCATCATTGGAAAATCACAGGGACGGGAAGCCCCAGTGCAGTAGTCAATGGATTAGTTTGATATGACCTGTATGCAAATAAGCACAAGCCTGAATTTAGAGAACATGGCTGAAAGCAAGAAAACATTTTAATAAATATCAAAAGTCATACTCTGCCATGTAGCTGATTGAACTGTTGCTATTCACCAAATGTTTTCACTAGAACAGATAAAAAATGCCAATTCTTCACTTCACGCTTCTAGTCTGGCTTTGGGAGATGTAGATATTAATGTCCTCTTTCCAGATTACCTGATAGGTAAATCAGTGTCACAGAGAACTTGATAAAGAGATTCTTCTAGGGATTCCCTTGGTATTCCAGTGGCTAAGACCCCACACCCCAATGCTGGGGGCCAGGGTTTGAACCCTGGTCAGGGAATTAGAACCCATATGCCACAACTAAAAAAAAAAAATCCTGCATGCCACAACTAAGATCCAGTGCAGCCAAATAAATAAAAAATTAAAAGAGAGATTCATTTAAAAAAAAACAAAAAAACAAAACCTCTCCTTTCACTTTAAAATATATATATATATATATATATATATATATATTTATCGATTGATTTGACTGTGCCAGTCTTAATTGCAGCACTTGGGATCTTCAATCTTCACTGAAGCATGCAGGATTTTTAGTTGATCTTTCTTTAGTTGCGGCATGTGAGATCTAGTTCCCTAACCAGGGATCAAAACCAGGCCCCCTGCATTGGGAGAGCAGAGTCTTAGCCACAGGGCCACCAGGAAAGTCCCTCCTTTCCACTTTGTAAAGGAGGATGTTTGCTGTTTAGTCACTGAGTCGTGTCTAACTCTTTCATGATCCCATAGACTGCAGCCCACCAGGCTCCTTTGTCCATGAGATTTCCCAGGCAAAAATACTGGAGTGAGTTGCCATTTCCTTCTCCAGGGGATCTTCCTGACCCAGGGGTTGAAACCACATCTTCTGCATTGGTAGGTAAATTCTTTACCACTGAGCTATCAGGGAAACCCTTACATATGTATACACACACACACACACACACACACATATACATATATATATAAATACACTCATGCACAGAGTGGACAAATTGATTTGAGATGTATTTCACCCTGGATTTCAAATCTTTACCATAATAAAAGAAAAGAAATGTAGAAAACTTTTAGAAGGGGCAAGACAGCAATGGACTTCTTCTTCAAATTCCATTTTTATCTACTACTCTCTATTATAGAGCTATCAGACAGCCTCAATAAATGCTTCTCTTGAGAAGAATGTGTTTCTACCAATCAGAGGAGGTAAGGAGGTTAAGGATAGGAGGCAGCCAAATTGACTGAGTAATCAGCTAAAATTGAGGATATTTAATCCACAAATCTACAGGGTTTCCTGTACAATTATTCCTAATACAGAACCCACTAATATCTTGCTTTCCAGTTTCTTTTCCTATGGCATAAAAAAAGAATTCAAACCCTATTATCCTAAGAGTGAGTCTGAAACACCTTACCTCAAAACATAGCATTTTCTTAAAAAATAATGAAATGTTTGTCTCATAAATCCATATGAAGTATTCATCAAGTCTAGCCCTATTATCTTGTTATTTTATTAAACAAATATATTCTTACCTGCAATTGGAATATCACTATGCACTTGCTTCCAAGTCATTTACAATCATGTTAAATAGGAACCATTTCAGGTAGCAAAACTGAAAACAGCATTATTTACAATTCTGTCCAGAAAAAAAAATCCCTTTATTACTATTATTTTCTTTTTCTTGTCTTAAAAGTCATCACCCAGTCATCACATAATGTACCTTCACCTTTCAACCGGACACTGATTGGATTCTTTTCAAAGATTTTTAGAAAATGTAAATGACTAACATTCACTTGTTTTCCTGTTCCTGTATTATTAACCAGTTCAAAAGTTACATCTAAATTAAGCATAGTTTCCTCTTTAATGCTACTCTCCCAACCCAAAAATGTTAACTCTAAGTGTTCAATGATCTGTCTTAATAGGGAATCCACCTACTCTAAGAATGCACTAAAGCTAAACAACTAGCTAGACACTAGACAGGAAAACTAGAAGGTTGGATTCAGAATAGCAGTGTGACATATAATGAAAGTGATCAATACTAAATTTTAAACTTCAAATCCCAGCTCAGCAAAGATCAACCACAAAAGAAATATGAAGTTGAAATTAATCACAAAAGGATTATACCATAAAAAAAAAATTATACTTACATTTCAATGGAACTGTGTAAAGGACTGAATCATGTAGAATCGCTACATGTACACTATAGGAGTGTTGATAATGAGAGACATTAAGACGTTGACCTTGAGGAGGGCGGGGGACACAAATAGTCTTAGTTTTCTCTTCTATTACAGAGAGGGAAAATTCATTCTTCCTACTGACTCTAGTACAAGGAGGTTATAAAGAAAAATTATAAGCTCTATAATCTTAAATTCTGGTGCTTTCATTGCTTCTGAAGACCAGTGCTCTGGAAATAAAAAACATTCCTGCACAGTTAGCCTTCGGAGATCTACACGAGTAATGATCAGTTGAAGACCCCTTCCTTCTTTCTAGGGCATTCAAATGCAATGCCTACCAGCAACTTCTATTATGAAAAATGAAGAGGAACATCTAGGGAATTAGATAATACTATGGATGTCCCCATAAAGTACACTGGAGGAAACATGTCTGCAGATTACAATTAAAATATTCTATTCACTGTAAAGGGGTGACATTTTCGAGGCGTTTTGGTCTTAGGGAATAACCTCTTGCTATAGAAAATATTTATTTCTATAAGTGACGTTTTTTAAAACACCAGCAGCTTTGGGGAATTCCCTGGAGATCCAATAGTTATGACTCCAT